ATATGCTGGACTAAGATAAGATATATAACAGGCAATTAGTAACAAGCTTAAAAATTGTTTAGCATGATATATACTTACTGAAGAAATGCTTCTTTAGCTGGAATTTTTCTGGAGTAAGTTCTTAATTTTTCTGAAACATTAGTTCCAGTGCTTAGCATCCAATCCGACTCATCTGCTGAATAATTGATGTCAGAGGTACATATCTCTTCATTATTCTGTTTACATTAAAAGAGGGGATTGATTAGAATCAGAAATGAGAAGTTATTTGACAAATCCAACTTACTAATTTTATTCTTTTGGAGTTTTGACAAACCTACATAAAGAAAAGGATCAAAATTAAAACCTGGCTTAAAATACAATATGCATCTTGCAAATTATTCAAAAATTATACCTGATCAATTCTATCAACACCCTTTTCAGCAGCATCTTCTTCTAAAACAGTTATTCTTGTTCTTGTTTCTATTTGAGATGATGAGGGTGTTGTTGCTGCTACTATTGATTTAATTTTTTTAATTGGATTTGCCTTTAGAAACAGAAACATTACCATTAAATTTTAACTTAAAGTACCAATATACAGTTGAAAGTTGAACCAAAACTCTATACCTCCACATCCTCCTCATCATGAGATTCTTCTCCCTCATCATCAGAAATTCTTTTCTCAAATTCTAGAATTGTAAGAATTAGTAAGTATTCATTAAATAGAGATTCAAATTGAACCTCCCACTGAAATGGTTATGTACCAGAATCAAGTGTTTTAATATCCTATAATAAAAAATTTGACATGTTCATTTAGTGCAAGCAAACCAAACCATGTTGTGAATAGTACATGACTTCTTTTTTACCTCCTTTTGTACTAATGAATTGAATTTTCCTTGAATATTCGCATTTGTTTGAATTATTGAATGACGGATCTTAACCTAAATTATGAATATCATTATTAGCAATAAATTTGAAAGTCTGTGATAACTGAGCATGCAATACATCCCTATAAAAAATTTTTTTACGGAAAGTCCTACAAAATGTAAGGAACTGCGGGATGTGTAAGGAAAGTCCTACAAAATGCAAGGAAATTTGCATTTTTCCTTACATTCTATAATTTTTTTCATGTACGGAAAAATGCAAATTTCCTTGCATTTTGTAGGACTTTCCTTACACATCCCGCAGTTCCTTACATTTTGTAGGACTTTCCGTAAAAAAATTTTTTATAGGGCATACAGCTTTTCTCTCTTCAGTCCATGTTATCTAATCTTTCTGAATTGTTTCTTTCTAGTAATAGAGAGCAGAGATGTTAGAAAACTTGCTTTAAAATACGATACCAATGTACTTTGAGAAAACATATTCAATTACATACACTGAGGTTTTTTTTTATTTTTTCAAGTTTTTCCTTTACTGCTTGATCTTCAGCATAGTTTAGAGATTCATAAAGTGTTTCATGATATTTTACAAGTGCCATATTACATTGTTTTGGAAAAATAAAACGAAAAAATTCAAGTGGTGTCAGATCATTACTTCTGATCATCCAATTAATATTTCTTTCTAGATATGAATCTTTGTATCTTTTTCCTAGTATATTTGACATGATAAAAAATCTCAACAGAAAAAGAAACAATGATGAATATTTTATTGCGAAATTAATCAAGCAATTGTTAAAATGGGTACAGGTATCCCTCACACAAAAATCGTTCACCCCATGTACAGTGATCTGGCATGTCTGTGTGAGAAATAAACCCATGATCTGTGACTCGCCATTACTGGTATCTGTCACTTTTTCATTGCTTAACAAGAATTAGCAGTATGTTTTATGAGGAAAAAATTATACTTGAACTGACCTAGAAAAACTGTATAGAAAAAAAAAACAAGTTAAACAAGTTAATTTATAAAAAAAGTTATTTATTATTTACCTTTTGAAAGAAATATTCCAGTAAAATGTTCAGGATGACAAGTAAAATTGGTTTTATTCAGTAATCTTCAAGAGTATATAGGCAAAATCTAATGAAAATGACAACATGCGTTCGTTTCTTCTATATATTATAAATATTACATCGAAAAAAAACAAAAACAGTAGATGCGAGAATAAAACTATAAAACTATTTTTATTAGTTACACAACAGAAAAATTTTTGTAAATCGATATTAATATGGTAGTAGTAGCATAGATAAAAATCCTATCATTGGCTGTTATGGTATTACAAAAATCAAGTGAGATTGACCAATGAAAATTGAAATTAAAAATCACATGTGCTTCCAAAAAAATTAATTAACATTTACTCAAGCAAAA